AATATCAGTGATGTCTTAACTGATTTAAGTATATATCATACGTTAATATCATCAGGCATGGTTCATAAAGGCTTTGCAAAACGTGCATCAGAATTTCCGTGTGATACATTAATGAATGAACTTAGAACTACTCATAATTATCGTAAACGCTTAATATTTACTGGTCACTCATTAGGTGATAGTATTGCACATTTATGTGCTATATTTAATTTAGCTAATAAAAGTTATAAAGAAAATCCACAAATATATAGTATAGCATTTGGTTCACCATTTATTGGTAATCGTACTGTTGCTGAAGCTTTAATTCGAAAAAATTTTAATAATCATTTTTTAACAATAATAAATCAAAATGATATTGTACCAAATATATTAAATCTTGTTGAAACCAGTACACATATTCAATCAACATTAGCACCAATCATTCAACAACGTTCAGACATCACTAAAACACTTCTTCCAAACATTTCATCTATAGCTCGTGTACCGAAGGGGGTGCTTACGTCATCGATTAAGACTCTAAATTTATTGATACCAAAATTGAAAAAAATTTCAGCAAAATTAAAGAATACAAAACAATAGAACAGTATGGATTTATACGCTCAGTACTTTCAAACGAATCAAATAGTGAAGAGAATTTTGAATGGATTATCACGTACAAAAGCAATACAATGAAAAATGATCATCAAAATAGTGCAGAAAAATTTATTGATCTTATATCAAAATAATTAATTGAATCATTTGGTCCGTCGACGGCAACTATTACCGACATAAATATTATTAATCATTATATGGAAAATTATATTTCATCATTGAAATCATGTGAAATTATTAATTCACAATCTTCAATACTTATAAGAGAAAAACAACGTATAACTGAATTTAGACGCTTCGACCCTCATATAAGAAAAGCAACAGCTATTTGTTCTGATATAGATATTAAAATAAAAATCATAGGTGATCATTTAGATTTTTTATCAACACACGAAAAAATGTGTGTGATTACATCTGAAAATTTCTTTCAACCGAATTCTGTTATAACACCATCGGAAATTTCACGGAATAAACTGGTTTTAATGAATAATAGTTTAGTACCAATAGAAAAGCGTCTCACAATTGGCCCACGAAAATATACATTAGCTACACATTTTGGTGAAATTAATCTAATATTAGAAATTCATGATGATGATAATGAACAACAAACAACGGCAACATATCAGAAATTTGATATGAATTTTTTAATGGCTACATTTCTACGATCCATTTTTGAATGTCTACATTCAAACAATGATTTATGTTTATCGAACTCTAAGAACAGTCTAAGTTATTTTGTAAAATTATTTGAAAATAGACTACCGAGGGTGTGGGTGTGGGTGAATGTTAGGAACAAGATACGCACACCCACACTCACACCCTAATATTAAGTATTTTTTCTCGGATGATGATGTCTTTTCATTCATCTATCTTGTAAACATTGGGATGCATGATATTACTTTGTTGATGTATCAATTTTTTATGAAAGCACATAGATTTTTATTTAGCTTCGTTTAAACGCTTCTCCTATGACATTCTTTACTGAACTATAATCAATACAATAACGACTACTTTGTACTGAGCTTGACAATAGACAAACGAAAGATAATACGGTCATACTTAACAATATGACAATACTTAGTAATATCAATTGCATTAATAACTGCGATCAGAGAAATTCTCTTGATTCTCGTGAATTTGGATGTTTTCCAACATAGAAGACCAATGTGCTATCGTGATATAGGTGAAAAATAATTTGCGCACAAATAGGAAAATATTTAATTAATTCACATTGAAAATTTTAGCGTTTTTATCTATTCTGAAACTAGAAATTGTCTATTAGACTGATTACATCTATCACAAAACTAAAGAGTCATGAAAAATGAATAATGAGAAATTATTTTCACTTTCGCGAAAC